TCCGAAAAGCATCCATATTGTTTCATTTATATAGTCTTTTACTAGCAAAATCACATTTCCACCAATCAGATACATGATCAACAGAACGAATATTTCTTGAACGCACTTGGAAACTACCAGTGAGAAATTTTTGCAAATTTTATCGTTGATTTTGTTTAATTTTTATATTTTTACAAATTTTATCCTTAAAACACTATATTTATAAAATTTTAGAAATTTGTATTTGAAATAATTCGAAGACATTTTTAAACAAGCCAAAATTAATCCCGTGAAATTAGAAAAGAATTAATAAATATGACTGTTCTAACGGACCTATCAGCATTTCGCAAGTGCGACCCGTGATTCCTTGCGCGTTGGAGTTCAGATCAAGGTTTTCTGATCGGTCATAGTTTGAGGAGGTGAAAAGTGTGGCGGTGCTTTATTCGATATTCTTTATGAGATCTTATATTTAACGGTTGGCTTCTGAATTTCTTTCGCAGCCGTAAGTAATGAGAGTTTGATTATTTCATGCCGTAGGATCTTTTAGAAAAATTATACTATTGCGACGTACGCAAGAGATCGAGATGATTCCAGGCGAACGTCAATCTTTCTGTTCCCATTGGTGCCAAAATGTCTAATCTAACATAATCTATTATAGAGTATAAAATATCTCGTAAACAAATACGGAATATCATTTGATCTTGCGATTTTTATTGTATTTTATTTCCAAACTAATATCTTCGAGACTACACCCCATCACCAATATCGTTGCCGAATTTTAATACCTAACCCTCAATAGCTCATTGTCAAATAGCTTCAAGGTATTCCTAGTCCCCATTGACGACTTGATTATATACAGAATAATTTTTATGCATTTTTGCTCAATTTTATCTTGTTCGTAAATAGATATATTTTAATCAAATTGTTTAATCATATTAATATCATAAATGTTATTTTTGTATAACATATAGTTTCATCTAGTACCATATATACATATTTAAATAGTACTGTATGTTATATAGTAACGATTTTTTTTATAGTAAAATATTGTAAATATTAATTTGAATAGGTCAAATATATTTATAAAAGTAAATTACTATATTTCAATAAATTTATATATAAAAATATATAGATGTATGTATATATATATACACACACGCGCGCGCGCGCACATACATTATATATATATATAGATATTTATATATATATTTAATAATTATATCTAGTCATATTAATCATTTATTATAATAATTATTTTATAAATAAAATATATATATTGCTTTTGAATAATTATTCATAAAAAATTTAATGATAAAATCAAATAATTTGATATATTAATTGTGCCCAATATGAATATAATTATCTTGTTAATTAATAAGTTTTTTATTATTTCCTTTGACTTTTTATTTAGGAAACTGAAAATATTACATAATAAATGTGAATTCTTTTTAGGTATACTGATCATTTTATTTTAAATGAAGTTTATATAAATTTTTTATATATTTTCATTAAATATTTACAATTTCTTAATGTATTTTCTTTTATTAATATATTTAATAATATTATTAATGTTTCTGAATAAATTTTAGATGTCAGCCGCAACTACACATAAATATCGTTATAAAAATGTGGGTCTGGACTCACAAGAACTGAGAAGACGTAGAGAAGAGGAAGGTGTCCAATTAAGAAAACAGAAAAGAGAACAACAATTATCAAAAAGACGTAATGTTCCTAATATGGTTGCTGATGATGATAATGTTACAGGAAATGAATCTGCTTATCCTGCACCACAATCAGTAAATTTAAATTTTTCAATATAAAAAATATTTTTATTTAAAATTATTATTTAAATGTATTTTGTTTATTTTACAGAAAACGTCTATTATTGTACTTGAAATGGTGCAAGAATTGTACAGTCCTAATCCAGAAGCTCAATTGGCAGCTACGCAAAAATTTAGAAAAATGTTGTCTAGAGAACCAAATCCTCCAATAGATGAAGTTGTAAAAACTGGAATTGTACCTAAATTTGTTGAATTTCTAGAGAATAATGCAAATTGTACATTGCAGGTTAGTGAAAAATTATTTTTGAAATATATAATATATTTTTGTATGAATATATTATATATATTTTTAATATATATAATAAATAATTTAATATATCTATTTAATTATAATTTAATTTAATTATAAATACATAAATTTAATACATATTAAATATAAAATAATTTATTATATTTTTGTATAATAATAAATACTTAAAATGACCTTAGTTTGAAGCTGCTTGGGCTTTAACGAATATAGCGAGTGGAACGTCTCAACAAACGCGTGTAGTAGTAGATGCAGGAGCTGTACCTATTTTCATATCATTACTTGGTTCTGAATATGAAGATGTTCAAGAACAGGCAGTTTGGGCATTGGGCAATATTGCAGGAGATAGTCCTGAATGTAGAGATCATGTATTAGACAGAGGAATCCTCACTCCTCTGTTGCAGTGGGTTTCAAATTTTAAGTTTTTTGATTTTTATTTAAATAATAGAAAAATAAATATTTTCTTTATTTTTTTTTCTTTTTTTTTCTTTTTTTTTTAGATTACTTTCTAAAGCAACACGTTTATCAATGACACGTAATGCAGTGTGGGCATTATCCAATCTTTGTCGAGGCAAGACTCCACCACCAGAATTCACAAAAGTCGCACCATGTTTACCAGTTTTAGCTCATTTTCTCAATCATACTGATAGTGATGTTCTTGCCGATGCTTGTTGGGCTCTTTCCTATTTAAGTGATGGTCCGAATGAAAAAATTCAGGCAGTTATTGATGCAGGTGTATGCAGACGTTTGGTAGAATTACTTATGTAAGTAACTCTATCATATGAATTGAATTTTATTAAAATATTTACAAAAAAAAATAATATCATATTTTTTGAATTAGGCATCAACAAGAAAATGTTGTCAGTGCTGCGCTTCGAGCAGTGGGCAATATAGTTACAGGTGATGATGTACAAACACAAATTGTTCTTAATTGTTCTGCGTTACATTGTTTGTACCATCTATTGAATTCGTCTCAAGAAAGTATTCGTAAAGAAGCTTGTTGGACAATTTCTAATATTACGGCAGGAAATCCTCAGCAAATTCAAGTTCGTATATACTTTTGAAAAGTATAAATTTTAGCAATTAAAGTTTCTATTATTAAAAAACAGATGGATTTTGTTTTAACAGGCTGTCATTGATGCCGGTATATTTCCCGTCCTAATTGATATTTTAGCAAAAGCAGAATTTAAGATTCGAAAAGAAGCGGCATGGGCGATTACTAATGCTACAAGCGGTGGTGCACCGGAACAAATACGTTATATTGTTGTTGAAGGATGTATTCCACCATTGTGCAATTTGTTAACAGTAATGGATCCTAAGATTGTTCAAGTTGCATTAAGCGGTTTAGAAAATATCTTGCGCGTGGGAGAACAAGATGCTGCCTCGCATAATGGTATTAATCATTATGCAGTATTAATCGAAGAATGTTTCGGTGAGTGTGAAATTAAAAGAAATAACTGCGATTGAAAAATATTACTATATATTATATTGCAATATTTCAGGCCTAAACAAAATAGAATTTTTGCAATCTCATCAAAATGTAGAAATATATCAGAAGGCCTTCGATATAATTGAACGATATTTTGGTTCTGAAGAAGAGGATACTCGAGTGGTACCTACTATTGATGCACAAGGACAACAGTTCCAATTCAGAGCACCTGATTCATCTCAATTACCTGTCCAGGGCTTTGAATTTTAATCGATTAGTTTTAATCGAATCTCCAAATGTATTATCTGGTTCAATCTTGTTTTGTTCCTTGTGTTTACATCTATTTTTCGTAAAAGGAACTTATCCAAAATGAAAGAAAAATATCAGTCAGATGCAAAACAGTGGTATATTTATACATATACTTTGAATTCGTTTGTATTGATCAGAATATCAGCAAAAAAAATCTTGAAGTGATCAGTTTTTTGCTCGACGATAAAGATGAGTAAAATGTTTATACGCAGTTATTTTAAGTGGTTTTCTCTTATTATTTTAGCTACACCATATGCATCATTCTAAGTTTATTACAAAAATGCAATTGTTTATTACGAATCTATATCAAATTGTGACAATGCTTTTACTTCTTAAGCTTTGAAGCAATTTGGATAGTTTCGTAGTCATATTTGAACGTATAACATAAATCATATTAGTATGAAACTATTTAGTTTATTGAAATTAACAAAGTAAACACTTTAGTGCTTAAGTAGAAACAAATAACTACGGAAACAATGATCAGGACAATTTACTATTGAGGTAGACTTATACCTCGAACGACGTATGACTGACTCAGAATTACGAAAACTTGCACAACTGGCAAGACATAAATGACTGAAGTACGCGACTACGTAGCCAACACTGACAACTTATGCAACGCGTTACTCACATCCTTACTACATTAGGTAGGAACATGACCAATTAAACTTTTTTACTGTAAATACGTATCTTGTAATTTTAAGGCTATTTTATACAGAATGTCCTAAAAAAAACAATATTTATGTTATATTAATATGATCTTTAAAAAAATTATTTTAAAATACATAAAATACATATATATAAATGCATGTTTAACATTTTATTCAATATTGGCACAAATATTGTTAGAATATTATAATTATTCAAATTATGAAATTTTATTATATTTTTTTTCATTTATATGAAGTATAAAAATACTTAAATTGTGAATATAAATGATTATATTTAAACTTTTAATATTTAAATTTTCAACAACAATTTTAATAAATAGATATTTTACAAATATATATTTTTCAAATGAAAGTAAATTTTTAGTATATCATCAATATCAACAGTATTTGTAATTGTATTAAATTTTGGACATTCTGTATAAAAAGTCTGTGACTGTATAAAATGTATTTATTATTTAGGTTTGACGGTACCATGCTATATTATGCAAAATATATAAATATATATATAAATATATATTACCTACTTTTAGTTACGGACTTGAATTATTACGACAGAGGAGGACTGTATTATAAGAAATTCGTAAGCGATCATTTTGCTAATACGATATTTTAGCAAAGTGTACACTTATGAGTATTTGTTGCCAATTTATAAAATGCTTATTAAATAAGATATAAGCATATTGGAAAAAAAATTTACCATCTTGTGTTGCGCATGCTATTCTGAGATAAATAATAGTCAAAATATTTTGAAACGTTACTGTTGAAGAAATTATATACAAGTATTTGTTTTTATGGATATATCATTCAATTTACTTGATCTTCCTCAAATATATATGTAAATGTATCATTTATATAAGCAACTAAATTTTGATACTAAATAATTATCGTAATTTATTTCAGATTCGATTTTGTAAGAAAAATTGTTAAAAAAATTTGTTTATAAGTTTGCAAAAATACATTTTTTTCTAGTATAATAGGAAATAAACGAAATAAATTGGTTTTTCTACTAATGCGATTCCATTTATAATACAGGAGAAACGCATTGTAAATTGGCAATTTAAGACATGAATAACAATACGTGGACGAGGACCGAGGACATGTTACACTATTAAGATACAATCACAGTATGACATGTATGAAGTGAATTTATTCATTGTACTTTATTTTAAAGCTGCATAAACATGTCATTCAAGAGCATAATTGAAATCATGCCAGAGGCATTGATCTTGTTGTTATATTTTTTGAAAATTTGTAGAATCCGCCAAATCCATTGGAATCTTTATCTATCAAAATGTTGATTTTCTGTACTGTCATTTGACGTAATAAAATAAAGTTGAATATTAATATACAAAAATCTTTATTTTCTTTAGTTTTAATACATAAACAATATTTATATTATTTATAATATTCTACAATAGCAAAATTATACATGTTATTTTTATACTATATATTATGAATATTTTTTACTATTTATTATTACAATATAATAATTATATTATATATTATATATTATACTTGTTAGGAAATTATAATTTATTTAAATAGAACAATCTGCATAATTGAAATTTATATTTGATTCTGAAAGTATTGGTACAATTATTCCATCTGTAAGTCTAGTTATTAATGGATCTAAAATATCTTTATCCATATATTTTGATAATCTTCTAAATATTTGCTTTTCAATAAATTCTAATTCCATTTGAGATGATTTATATCCATCAACAATTACTGTTATTATATATATAGCATGTTCAACTAAAGGTTTTTCTCTATCACAAAAATTATGAAAAGCTTTTAATGCCTCAGTATTTATGCTTAATAAATCTTGTACTATCTAAAACAAATTTTTTTCTAATAGAATTTATTTTTAAATGTAATTCTATATATACATATATCATATTTCAAGATAAAAAAAAAAA